CTCTCTCTCTCTCTCTCTCTCTCTCTCTCTCTCTCCTCTTTTCTCTGTCCCTCCCAGAGGAGTTCTCATCTTGCATTACTATCTTTCGCTTAGTTGCAAGCAGAGCACGCGGCGTAAACTGCGATGAGCAGGAATTAGCAGTACAATCATGACGGTGACTAAAATGTACTGAAGGTCCAACTTTATTTTACAAGAGGCACTTTTAGAAATATTTAGTCAACGTTTAGATACAAGTACAGTGCCGAACCTTTCAACAATTGTCGAAATTAACTTAATTTGTTTCCAGTTAAACACTTGCAAGTGTCTATGACAATTGCTGTGCTCTAAAACGTGTTTAGCACTAATATAGGGCACTAAAAATGTACAACTTGACAGCTGTGCACTTGTAAGTGTCCAACTCCGCAGATGCACACTTCCTTGGCTTGAGAGCATTTTGCTTGGGAAGAGTGCAAATGGAGGGTTAAACAAATTATAGGGCATAACATTAAACGTGCATACGTGCATACGTGCATTGCAAGTGCACAACTGTGTTAAACATTCGTAATTGGTTAAGTAGTTAGTAGGATTACTGCAAGGTGGAACACAATAGTTATCAGTGTTCAAAAAGAAAATCATCTGAGCTTTCAACGAAAAATTATATTATTAATCACTGCATTCTTGTCTCAAAAAAATTGTGTACCAACGTCTTTCATTTTTTCTCGGTAGTCTTTGCAACGGGGTACAAGGCATAAAGGAACACACTATATACATCTACAAAAGTGGCATTGAGATTCAGAAATGTCCATCCATTTCATTCGGAACCGTTGTCATGTCCCGTGGATTTCAGAACGCGCGGCCAGGGCACTGCTACTACAACGGGATGCTGCATCACGTGTGCGGGAAAACAATCACGGTCCAAAAAATAATAACACCCCTCCCGCGTAATTCCAACATTTTCCCTTCTCGACCTCCGCGCGTCCCTCCCCTCTCTCTCTCTTCTTCAGTTTCATTTTTCCTTATTTTTTTTTCTCCGTTTGAAATTCCCATCACGGCTCGCCAAATCTAGAAGAGCCAGTGGCCGTCCCGTCTGGGAGCCGCCCGGTGCCCGGTGTGCTGGTCCGGTGGGGCGCCACGCCACGCCACGCCACGCCACGCCACGCCACGCCACGCCGCGGGCCGAGATGAGATGGTATCCGCGCCGTGCACCTCTGGGGACCCGGGAGACCCTCTAACCTTGGCACACGGGGCTGAGCTGAGCCGGGGCTGGCGGCGCCTCGCCGGGGCCTAACCCCGCTGCTTGCTTGTTCACAGACCGACATCTGGGGCAGCGCAGGCGGCCCGGGCCGCGCCACGTCACGCCGCGGAAGGGGAGCACTATCGACTTTATATCGGTATTTCACACACTTGTCGGCGGAGGTGTTTGCCGGATTCCGTCTCGCCAGTTTTGTTGCGCCTCTCCCTCGCCCTCTCCAACCTGCATTCCGTTGTGTCACGGGGAGGGAGGGACGGCGGGGACCAGCAGGCCTTTGAGGTGTGGCTGGAGGGGGCGAAGGGGACCAAAGAGGACCCCGTGTTTGTTTGTAATGACCCGAAACGAAACGTATACGACAGAATGTCTTCTAAAACATCAAAAGCGCCTAGATATTAAGTATCTCCTGTTTGCATGTATTTTAGTAAAGAAGAAGAAGAAGAAGAAGAAGAAGAAGAAGAAGAAGAAGAAGAAGAGCCATTCCGGTTGCTCTGACCCAGTGCGGCGCTTGGCAGGCGCGATACAAACTGCATGTGGTCAGGGAACCCCCTCGGGACAGACGTCGACCCATTAACTATTTGGCATACTACAATGTCAAACACTCGGATCGGAGCTGCGATAGGCTGAAAGTGGGTGCGGATACGTCCCTTCTCTCTTTCTCTCTCACTCACTCCCTCCCCCCCTCTCTCTCTCTCTCTCTCTCTCTCTCTCTCTCTCTCTCCCCACCCCCTTGATACATCGACCGCCGTGGAGGTACGGTCACGACGACTACCGCATCAAAAT